GGGCTGCTCCTCGCTGTTGGCCAGGGAGGCGTTCAGGGGCTCCGGGAGCTCCTTGCGGCCCTTCCTGTCCCTCCTGGCCGCGGCCACGGCGCGGGGACACAGCTGGAGGCACAGCTGGAGGCACAGCTGCAGGCACAGCTGGAGCAGCAGCAGCCGCCACAGCTGCCGGAGGGACGGCATGGCTGGGACAGCCAGGAACCCCGGCTGCCGTCCCCGAATTCACAATTTATTATGGCAGGGTCAAAGAGGCAGGTGGAAAATCCCTCAGGAGCAAAAAAAAAATCGGATTTGTGTAAAAAAAATCTGAATTTATCAGGTCAGGGTCGAGGAGTCAGGTGGAAAATCCTTCAGGAGCAAAAAAAATCGGATTTGTGCCCCAAAAAATCAGAATTTATTAAGCCAGGATCAAGGAGCCTTTGGGATGCTCCAGGAGAGACAAAAATCTGGGTTTGTGTCCCAAAAAATCTGAATTTATTAAGCCAGGATCAAGGAGTCAGGTGTAAAATCCCTCAGGACCAAAAAAAAAAATCAGATTTGTGCCCCAAAAAATCCGAATTTATCAAGTCCAGATCAAGGAGCCTCGGGGATGCTCCAGGAGAGACAAAAATCTGGATTTGTGTAAAAAAAAAAATAATAAAAAATCTGAATTTCTTAAGTCAAGATCAAGGAGCCAAGAGCAAAATGGTCCAGGAGGGAGAAAAATCCGGACTTGTGTCCCAAAAAATGGGAATTTATTAAGTCAGGATCAAGGGGTCAGGTGTAAAATCCTTCAGGATCAAGAAAAAAACAACAAAAAATCCGAATTTATCAAGTCAGGATTAAGGAACCAGGGGGAAATGCTCCAGGAGGGAGAAAAATCCGAGTTTGTCTCCAAAAAAATCCGAATTTACCAAGTCAGGATTAAGGAGCCAAGCACGAAATGTTCCAGTTCCAATAAAAAAAACAAGAAAAATCCAAATTATGGGATCAAAGAGCCAGGTGTAAAATCCTTCAGGAGGGAGAAAAATCCGGATTGGAGTCCCCCCCCAAAAAAAAAAAAAAATCCAAATTTCTTAAGGCAGGATCAAGGAACCAGATGGAAAAATCCACATTGGTGTCCAAAAAAATCCGAATTTATCAGGTCAGGATGAAGGAGCCAGGTGTAAAATCCCACAGGACCAAGAAAAATCAGATTTATCTCCGAAGAAAATCCAAATTTCGCAAGGATCCAACAAAAAAATCCGTCTCAAAAAAAAAAAGAAAAAAAATTCAAATTTCAGGAAATCCCAAGCAGCCGAGTGCAAAATCCTCCAGGACTCCCCCCCCCAAAAAAAATAAAAAAATCCCGGATTTGTGTCCAAAAAAAAAAAAAAATTCCAAATTTCCTCGGGCTGGAGAAGGTGGAGCTGGATTTGGGATTTGTTTGGAATTCTGGAGAAGGAGCCGAGTCCATGGAGCTTCCCAGGAATCCCAAAGGCCTGGAAAGGCAGCTCTGCCTCCTAAATCCAGCCTAAAACTGGTTTTAAAGGCACTCAGCCACCCTAAAATCCAGCCTAAAACTGGTTTTAAAGGCACTCAGCCCCTCCTAAATCCGGCCTGAAATTGATTTTATTTTGCTCCCAAAATCCACCTTGAAACTGGTTTTATTTTGCCTCCTAAATCCGGCCTAAAACTGATTTTAAAGGCACTCAGCCACTCCAAAATCCGACTTGAAACCGGTTTTATTGTGCCTCCAAAATCAGGTTTGAAACTGGTTTTACTCTTCCGCTTTAAATCCGACTTGAAATTGGTTTTTAAGGCACTCGGTGCACCCAAAATCCGACTTGAAACCGGATTTACTCTGTCCCCTCTGCTCCCCCAAAATCGGATTTAAAACTGGTTTTACTCTGCCCCT